CTTGTGGGCTTTCTGTGGGATGAAACAAGATGTGAAGTGGTCAGATTGATGATTTCCTATGTCTGCTTGGGGTTTTGCTGAGCTCTGGTACTCTCAATCCCCTCCCCCCAATTCTGGCAGAGACCCACGTGCATGTGCACGCACTGTGACACCAAGGGGCTTATCAGACTCCCTGAGCTACAGCAGATCTGATCTGGGACACAGGACTGTTGAGATAAGCATTGAAACTGCCCAAGGTTAGAGCTCTGTGCTGGGGAGGGAGAGAGGAGCCTGACTTGGGGGGAGAAGAGGAAGGAGCCGTGCATGACTCTCAGCGCTGGTTTGCTCCAGAACAAGGATATTCTTGAGGGTTGGGAGGTGGATTGAGCGGCTGTTTGTGTAGATTTAGTGCGGGGCTTCTAGATGGAGTTTTGGAAAGGGTCCTCTTACCCTGTTGTTGGTGGCAAAACCAAAAGGTCTTTCTCTTTTTCTGCCCCTCATTCCCATGTCCGTTTCTCAGTCTCTGAGCCTGGGTAACTCCCATAGCTGCGGGGTTTGCAGGCGGAAGCGGGGGCACCTATGCTTAGGACTGGGGTGAAAGTTTTCATGGGATTCATCTCCTGGGCACCCAGTCACCAGGTACTTTCCACTAATTCTGCTGTGCTGTTGCCTTAGTCATCGGACAGGGTGATGGACTGAAATGGGACGTAAGAAATAAAAATAAGGGGCACCTGGGTGGCTCAGTCAAGCGGCTGCCTTCAGCTCAGATCATGATCCCAGGGTCCTGGGATCGAGCCCCACACTGGGCTCCCTGCTCAGCGGGGAGCCTGCTTCTCCCTCTGCCTCTGCTGCTCCCCCTGCTTATACTCTCTGTCAAATAATTAAATAAAATCTTTTTAAAAAAATAAAAATAAGTCCTCATTTTTACAGGGTCAACTCTTTCACATCCACTATTTTATTGATCCTTCACTAACCCTGTGAAGTCAGGGCCTTGGTTAGGTTGGATCCTGGGGTACAGAGGCTGTCGATGTCCATGAGGCAAGGGGTACATGAGCCCCAGAAAGGCAGTCAGAGGATGGGGTTCTACACCTGGCTCTCTCCCCGGTTGGCCAGGTGACCTGGGGCAGATGATTCAGTTTCCCTACATCTCAGTTTGTAATTGGTCAAAAGAGACCCTGAACACAGAAGCTCTTTGTACACTGTTAAAGGCTCCTCAGCAGCGGGGCACTTATGGTGGTGGCTCAGAGCTTAGTACTCCATACTCCACTTAAATGCCGCTCCCTTGAAGGGGCTGAGTGTGTTCTTCCTCCTGGCCCTGCGTCCACAGCCGCCCCCACCCCACCCCCGCCCTTGTGAGGGTGGTCCGGAGAGGACCAGGCAGGGCGGGGCTAGGAGGTGTGCCCGGGAGGGAGGAGGGGGTAAGGTCTGCCCGGTGCCACCTCCCTACCCCGTGTCTGGCTCCCACTGGCAACCTGAGCCCTTGGCCTCCCAAGCTGCTCCTGGAATGTAAACCCCAAACAAAGCACATTCTTGAGCCGGTCACCAGCTCCTGACCCTTGGTAAGGGAAGGCAGGAGCCAGCATTTCTCTTGGCCCCGAATGACACCAGCACAGTCTGGTGCTGGGGGTTGTTATCACAAGCCCGGATTAATAGGCTGGCTTGTCCCCCACAGCTTATGAGAAGCCCGATCCTGATCTACTCCTCCCGTCAGAGCCTGCTGCGAAGGGAGACGGGACCCGATCCCTAAGCGAGGGGATTTGAAATACTGCTGATTTCCTGAATCTGATGCTTTGTGCCAGCCACAGGCTGTAGACGGAAGCCGAGGAAGAGGGGCCATTGTAAAGGTTACTCTCAATGTTACTGCTGTCTCTTGGCTCCTTGATTTCTGGCTTCATTCAACTCAGTTGTTTGCTACACATTTATTCCATCAGTTATTTGTTACACATTTAGACACTGCGTGCCCAGCCCTCTGTGATGCTCTGAGCCTCCAAGGGCGAATGGCACTGTCATGGTCCCAAGGAGAACCTACAAAGTTTAGTGTCTGGGGGTGATGTGTGGGGGCGCTGGCTGCATTCACCAGGTACACAAGGGGCAGGAACCCTGGGCAGAGGCAAGGAGGGGAGGCGGGGAGGCGGGACCTGTGCCAAGGGCCTCAGAGGCCCAGACTGAGGCTGGGAATCACCTGAAGGGTAGGGCGAGCTGCTGGGGATGCTAAGCTCTGCAAGGACAGTTGGATTCGGAGATGAGAAAGATTTCCCCAGCGCAGGAGCCCTAACGGCGATGTGAAAGGGGGGGCTGGAGGACAGGGCTGGGGGGGTAGCATTGTGGGGAGGCCGTCATGTGGCAGGAAGGAGGATGAGGGTGTGAACCCAGGTGGTGGCCATGGGAATCGGGGAGGGGCCAGCCTGAGGGGGATGTGGGTGAGAAGAACGAAGGTGGGTTGTTCATTTGTCACCAGGGCTGAGCCTGCTTCCCACAGGTGTTGGATGTGGAAGTCTGAGGTGAACAGAGACCCATCTGGAAGGGTGGCTCCAGTCAAGTCCCCTTCTCCCATAGATGGAGACGCTGGATCTGGATAGGGGAGCCTGGGCAAGGGATTTGCACATTACTATTCCCTTACAAATGTTTGCTTTTAAGGATGTGAGCTGCGTTAGGACCAGGCCTCCCTTTCTGTTGAGTGGGAGGGAGAGTGCCCCCAAATCCCCTTCTCATCCTCCAGATAAGGAGGGCAGGGTGGGCCACCTTCTGGAGACAGTGAGTAGGGCCTTAGGAGTCCCTCGCCATGAGGGCGCAGCCACACACCTCCCCCTGCAAGGTCGACCCCAGAGGAGGAGTCTGGAAGGCCCAGCTAGGGCCCAGGTAGGCCAGGCCACCAGCAGCCAGCCTGGAGGTCCTCACTCCAGCAATGTGGAGTGGGGAGGGAGGCCGGGGGGAAACAGACTTCTCTCTGAACTGCCTAGAAAACTTACAACTCGAGGTGTCACCTCGGGTGTCCAGTCTTCCGATGAAGTGAGGGCTTTGGCAACTTCAGATGGCATGATCCTTGCTCTTGTTCTACAGATTGGAAGATGAAGATGAGAAAGAGGAGGGGAGGGACATTTCCAGAGAGGGACTATGACATGAAAGCCTTTGGGGGTGGGGGTGGAGGGCGGGAGCAGGGCCTGGAGCCAGGCCATCTCACCCCAGATCCTGAGTGGCCTCCATGGCACCATGAGGTACAGACCATGTGGCTTACCGCTGACAATTCCATTTCCCTAGCTCAGCGAGGTGCCCCCAAAGTCTTTCCCAGAATGGACCTCTAAGAGGTAAGTCCTCAGCAGACACCAGCTCCAGCTCTTGGTGGCCCCCATGGGTTCTGGTGGCAGTCCCCCAGTCTCATAATGGGGAGGTCCTTTTTCAGGCTGACTGTACCCCTGAAGTTCTGACCATTTAAAAATGCTTCAGTCCCATCCACGGATCTGCTACCCTTTTGTGTGCTTGGAAAGCCTCCTCCTCCAACACACACACACACACACACACACACACACAGCTTTGGCCTCTCTTGGAAAAGGTGGAGGGACCCCTGCTTGTAAACACCTTTCTCAGGGAGGGTGGAAGGGGACAGTGAAGAAATGGAAGAGGAAGGGTTGGGGGGCCAGACCAGAGCTGGACTTCCCAAACATGCTGATCCATCCCTCAGAGGATCTGTAGCTCTTCCAGCACCTTCTTCTAACAGTTACTTCAGCAACTAACAGACCCAAAATCCGGGTGTCCAGAAGCAATAGGAAAGCCTCCCCTGCAGTCTGCTCACCAGGGGGCACCCGCAGCCACAAGCCGCCTCTAGCCTGGGTGGGAAGGCCAGGCTGGGCCAGCAGGGGGCAGCACCCATCCTCCAGCTCCAGAAGACCCAGGTTCCCCTTGTCCTGAAGGCCCAGGGGATCCTCCAGGAGGCTCCCCCTGAGCCCTGAGACATGGACAGGCGTTTCTTCTCTGTTCCTGCTTCTCGAAAACGAATTACACCGTCAGGCAGTAAGTGCTGTCTGACTACCCTGCAACCCCTCCCAAGGCAGGTTTTTCTTTGTATCCCCGGTGCTGACAGAGCTTTTAAAAATAACTGGGAATCAGAAAGAGGTGCTCTAGGGGCGCCTGGGTGGCTCTATCGGTTAAGCCTCTGCCTTCGGCTCAGGTCATGATCCCAGGGTCCTGGGATGGAGCCCCACGTCGGGCTCCCTGCTCAGGGCGGGGAGCCTGCTTCTCTCACTCTGCCCCTCCCCACCGCTTGTTGTCGCTCTCAAATCAATAAAATCTTGGAGGAGGAGGAGGAGGAGAATGAGGAGAAGAAGGAGGGGAAGGAGGGGAAGAGGAGGAAGAGAAAGAGGAACAAAGAGGAAGAAGAAGAAGAAAGAAGGAAGAAGAAGGAAGAAGAAGGAAGAAGGAAGAAGAAGAAGGAAGAGGGAGGAGGGAGGAGGAGGAGGAGAAAAGAAGAAGAAGAAGAAGAAGGAAGAAGAAGAAGAAGAAGAAGAAGAAGAAGAAGAAGAAGAAGAAGAAGAAGAAGAAAAGAAGAAGGAGAAGGAGAAGAAGGAGAAGGAGAAGAAGGAGAAGAAGAAAGAGGTGCTCTACAAGCTTCAAGTCTTTAAGTCCATGAGCAATCCCCTTTCAACTTGGGGTAAGACAGGAGTGAACTTGAGCCGAGTGAACTGAGGCCAGACGTGGAGATGTCAGCCTACGAGCACTCCCTCTCCTACCCCGGAAGCGGAGTCTCCACGCTGAAGAGAAGGCGGAGATGTGGCTGTACTGGGAGCGAGGTGACACGGCGGGGGGTGGTTTGGAGATGGAGCCTCCTCAGTGGGAACAGCCAAGGACAGCCGGTCGCCTGGGGCCCTGTTTGGTCTGAGGCTGTCAGAGGGGCCATTTCCTGGTGTACCCTCTACCCACCAAGACACCCGTCCACCCCGCCCCTGCACCAGCTGCCCGACAGGATAGGAATATAGATTTTAATCGTTGTGCTGCTCCTGTTAACCCAAGTTCCGCGAACCCAGCCTTTGTGGACTTTGATGCCACAGTGTACGTGAGGTTTTGCACAGAAACTCTCCGGGGCCGCCGGGGACAAAAGAGCCAGGGAGGGGTGGCAGAAGGACAAAGCGAGTGCGGAGAGGAGCGGGGAAGCAGAACCTGGACCGGTCCATTTGAACCTGACTTCCCTTCCAACCCAGCGGCCCCTGTTCCAAGGCCAGTTCTCGCTGAGCAGACGAGGGCTAGGGCAGGCCCGCGGTTGACCTGCCAAATGGGGGAGGGATGGGGACCACGGGAGAGAAGAGGGGTTTGGGACTCCTTGCAGCCCTTCGCCATTTTCCATCCCAATCCTCCCCAGACTCATAATGGTGGCCGCTGTCTTCTGCCCTACCCACCTCCTACCCCGGAGGCCGGTGCAGAGCTCACCGGAAGGGGAGGTAGCAGGTACTCCTGGGCCTTCCTCTGCCTGAGCACTAAGGGAGGAGTCTCTTCAGAGCTCTGCTGGGCTCCAGGTGGAGGCTGGCGGAGTCAGCGCGTCTTCTTGCGGTTTCCTGGGATTGGTACGGTTTGGAGGTGGAGGGAGGTCCCTCAGAGCCCCAGGGCCTGACCCCACTAGCTGCTGACAGGACCCAGCATCCTGGGGAGTCACCCAAACTGCCCAAGAGTGGAGCGATCTGGTCCGGGGCAAAGGTGCTGGGCCCAGGGACAGCTAGCAGTCGGAGACACACAGCGCTTCCACCGCATTGCTCAGACCCTGGTTGACGCCCCCCACAGCCAGGAGGCAGTTCTTGATGACAACGCTGGAGCAGGCACAGCGGGGTGTGGGCATGGTGGGGAGGACCTCCCACTTGTTCTTCCCTGGGTGGAATGCCTCTGCCGTCTCCAGGACCGTGGGTTGGTTCCCTGAAAGTGCCAAGGGAACCGGACCTTACAAAGGAGCCCAGCCACTGATCCATGCCCCACAGTGCCGCCACCTCCCTGGCTCCCTCTGGAACCCACAAGCGGAAGCCAAGGGACTTTAGTCCCTGGGCTGCAGAACGGCTCCCTCCCTACCCTGGGCCTTGGCTCTTGTCAGACAGCCACTCCGCCCCGCTTGCCTTCTCTCCCTCTTTTCATCTCCTCCACCCTCTGCTTTTACCAGAAGTTTCTAGATACTGCTGCTGCCTCTCTTTTGCCTTTTACTCAAAAGCTGTCCCCAAGGTCTGGCTCACATTGAGCTCCTTTCATACTCGGGTGAAGTGGGAGTCTGTCCACACTGAGTGAACTCTGGGCGCCTAGAAGCCCTGCTGCCCATGTATCTCTGCCCTGTTGAAGCTGGGGTCCTGCCTTCAAAACACCACTACTCTCTGCCAGGAGGAACCCAGCAAATCCTGAATCCATTACAAAAATTTGTCTAACCAGATTGCTTTCCTATTCCAAGATGGAGCTGGGTATCCAGGGAGTAGAGCCGGCCAGAGAAAGAGGACCAGGCTAATCCCTGCTACACTTTTGTTTCCAGTGTTCCTGGAGAGGGCCCCAGGGAGCGGTGCTCAAGCAAGCCTGCATTCCACGGTGAGCAGAATGTCCTGCATGCTCTCTTGGCCTCTGTTTCCCCTGTGTATGAGGACGGAAAGAGCACATGGGGGCCCGTTTGTGGATACATGGGAGAGAGTGTTTTGAATTATTTGGGATAAAGGGGTAGGTAGGCAGTATGCAAGCAGCCAGGACCTTCTCCTGCTCATGCAGACCGCCAAGTGTCCACCAAGCTCCCCACCCGCAGTAACAGCCTGGAAGCGCCATCCTCACCGAGTCCTCCAGCGACTATGACCCGTCCGCTCAGAGAGCCGGCCACAAAGTCTGCCCGCCGCTTCTTGAGGAAGAACGAGCGTTCCATCTTCAGCCAGCCCCCTACGGGCCACGGATCATGGCAGGATAAATTTAGAGAGAATTAGATGCTGACCTCCCCCACCAAATACACACTGAGTCCCCTGAGCTCACACCTGAGACAGAAGTCCATTCCATCCACCCTTCGTGCTCAGGGCATAAACTATGCCTCCTGCTGTTTGAAATGACAGCTCTGTGGCCTCTCCCCTCTCCCCGCCCCCAGGCTTGCTATAGTCCAAGGAACCGTAATCCCCTGCAACGAATCACCCCGTTCTACCTCCGTTCTCGTGGGCTCTGAGCTGGAGAGAAGGCTAACTAGAGGCAGCAGGCATGGGGGCGGTCAGGATCCTTCTGTGTCTGCTTCGGTAAAAAGCAGGAAAAGCCCTCCCTCCCCTGGCCCTGCCAGGATGTTGTAAGACAAGAAAATAGACGGGAAAGGCTTGGAGACAAGCAACCAGCCAGCCAAGAGAAGCCCTGTCCAGATGGAAGAAAGCGAGCCCAACAGTAGCCCGGAATGGTGAGGGCTATCCAGACCTCTGAAAGGCTCATGCCACTGGGTCAGCAGCCCTGGGAGGGTGGATGGGATCGGGGAGAAAGTGGGGTGGGGGGGAGTCAGCCAGAGGGGTGGTGGGCAGCTAGAGGCCAGTGCCCTGCTCACCTTGTTCCATGTCGAACACGTCCATGGTCCGGAGGAACTTGGGCTGCCGGTAGAGCCGACCCTGCCTCAGGCCCCCCAGGCTGTAGAGGCGGTCATCCAGGGTCACAAAGCTGGAGAAGGCCCGCTTGCAGGGAATGTTGGGGAACTTGGTCCAAGAACGAGTCTCGATGTCAAAGACCTCAAAGGCATTGACTGCATACTTGGACTGTCGTCCCCCTAGGAGCCAGGATGGGGTTGGAGGGGTGGAGGAGGGGGGGCCATGTAAGTACCTGAGGGCAAGGGGCTGGATTTCCCCTTCTGACTATTACCCAACCATATAGGGGGCTCCCTGAGGGGTGGGGCATCGTGGTTACCCCCTAGTACCGAGGAGATGCTCAGCACTCACACACTGCTTCCCGTGGGAACGGGCCCCGGGGAGGGAAGGAGAGAAAGATGTGGGACCGATAACTTGTCCTTACCCAGCACATAGATCTTGGAGCCTTGGAGGAAGGAGGTGGCAGCATATCTCGGGGTGGGCATGGGTGCTAGTGACACCCACATATCCTTGAGCATGTCATAGTGTTGGAGGTGGTTGTGCGGACGGAGGTCTAGGCCCATCCCGCCTGCCGCGTACACTCGGTAATCTAAGGAGAAAGGCCACACACACCCCCTGGCTCAGCTCGTGAACAGTAATCACCTACCAGGCCGGGCTCCATTAACCCCTCGAGCACCGGCACCAAGTCCAGGCCAGGTTCCCAACCACTGCTGTGCTAGAGTGAGGTTAATGGAACCACGACAAGTCCCTGCCGGGTTGAGCCTGGGTCTTCCTGAAGCCATGTCAGGCCTGCATGCCTTAGTCTTCCCTGGTGTCCAGCCCTTGGCTGAGCCTCGCACGAGGTAGACTGGGGCGGAGGCCCGGACAACCCTTGGCAGGTGTTGACCTCTCCACGTTCCTCCCGCGTAGGAAGCTAGAGGGGATGCCAAAGAGGAGGGGGTATTCCTCCGATGCCCTCCAGTAGTAGACTGTTGCTTAGGCACTCTTAGATCGGAACTCTCCAGACCCAGCAGGAGCCTTTGGAAATGAGGTCAGCCCTGCTGTCGTTGGCCTTGTGGGACACTGGCCTGCTGCTGGTTTTCTCTGTTTGCCAGCCCCATGGGGGTGAATGCCATCCCCCTTCACACACTGGGAGGCTTGTGGGCTCCAGAAGGCATCCTGCACTAGATGGGATAGGGTTAGGGGTGAATGAGGATGAGACTTTGAAGGACAGAAGACTAGCCCCTTTAAGGAACGCCGCCAGGGCTGTAAGCTGGGCATTCTGAGAGAAGAAGCGAATCCTCTCTCATTTCCTGTTGCTCTTGGCTGCAGGTAGCCTTCAGCTCTAGGCTGAAGGCACCTCCTTGAGACACTGTAGCAGAGAGGGTGAGCAAGGCATCCGTGTTTCCCGTGTTTCCCGGGGCCTCGCCCCAGTACCTCCTGCAGCCTACCACCAGAGACACAGCTTCCCTTATTCCCCCACCCCACAAGCCACTCTCCTTCCCAGGGACCCACCCCTGCCTGGGATTCCATCTCCCAGTAGCCAGTCTTCACCGCTTCTGGCTCTAAGAGGCTTTTATTCTTCAAGGGAATTAAAGGGATGAGTACTATTTCCTCCTATTGAGTACTACCCCTAGTCTTACTGAAAAAGGAACAAAAAAAATCCCAACCATAGCCTCAGGTCAGGAGATTGGGCCTGCTAATACTGGGAGGATTTCCCTTACACGAACTCTGCCTCTCCCATCCCTGTGTCACCCGAGGCACACCTCCAGCTGAGAACCCTCGGTCCACGCCACACCACGACTCCTGGGCCAGCTCCTACTCATCCCTTCACGGTCGCCTGGGTGCCTGAGTTTGTTTGTCTGTGGCCCCAGCATCTGCTTCAGTGCCTGCCACACAAGCCTATGAAAGCTTATCAGACTAACTGCTGAACCCATTCATTCAGTGCCCCAGTGAAGAGCACAGACTCCATCATCACTCACTAGCTGTGTGACCTTGGGCAAGGTATTTAACCTCTTCGGGCCCCACATGGCATCCCTCTAAAATGAGGATAGCACTTACCTCATCACACAGGTTGTGAAGATCAGAGGGGCTAAAATATATAAAGCACCTATAGTAAGGACTCAATAAGTGCTAGTTCTTAATCTCCCAGCAACATTTATTGAGGCCTGGAGACCAGTGAATACCCTTTCCCTCTCTTCCCCCCCCCCCCCCCCCCCCGCCACAGTCCTCCGGGTCTCCTGTCCTTCCTACCCAGAGTTCGTGGAAGCCCCACTGGCCACTGCCCTGAGGGATTCTGGGTTAGAGTTTCTCACTGGTCGCCTTCATTGGTCAGACCCGGACTTCTGAAAGTAGAGGCCAGGTCTTCTGCCTCTGTCCTTTCTCCCTGGGACCTAGAACTGCAGGGACACAGCAGGTGCTCAAGAAATACTGGTGGTCTGATCTACAGTAGACCCAACAGGTAAATGGGATGGTTTTGCCAGAGATGGAGGGAGGGTTGTATCCCACCAGGGCTGTCTGAGCTGCACTTGGGATCTTCTAGTTCCTGTTGGACCATTTCCCATAAAACCCTTCGTGTTTCAGCAAAAGGGCTTTTGGAGCCCCCTCTGTGCTCTGGGCTGTACCAGGCCCAGTGAGAAAGAAATAAGGGGCTTTGAGAAAGTGAACTGAAGATCAAATAACCGTGTGGTCAGCACATGCTTGCCCCGAGACCTGTAAACCTGGGCAAGGTGCTGCAGGAGCACCACCCTCAGGAACTTTCTAGTCTCCATTCCTTAGCATCTCAGATTAGGAGGCAGAGGGGGAGGTTGAGGGTGGCGGGAAAGGCCTTGGACTCAGGCCTCAAAGCCCCACCAGTGGGGCCTGGGGATGGTACAAGGAGGCAGGGAACGTCCCCAGGATGCCAAATATGTGTCTAGAGGTGGTGGTACCTAAAAGGCAGATGTCAGGGGATGAGGTGTTGTGGGTGGGTGGGAGGCTCCGTCATTCTGCTGAATGAAGGGGTCTCCGGAGACATGGCCCTAAACCTTCAGCTCTCCCCTCTGGCCAGGCCCGCCCAGCTTGCTGGGAGGAGCCTGGGGGAGTGGAGTTCTGGTATCATATGGAATTACTAGACACCTCACCTGCTGTGTCTGTTTTCCCATCTGTAAAATAAGGCCAGTGGGTCTTCAGTTTCAGTGTCTATTGTAGGGATCAAATGGGATCAGGCCTGTGAGAGTGGACCCCCCATTCAGTGTTGGTTTCCATCCCTCTCCCCGTGAGCCCCCACTCCCGTCTCTCTGCCCTCCCTCAGCCCTGGCCCCACTCGCCTTTGGCCGTGACAGAAATGCCCATGGCGGCCTCGCGCAGCACGCTCCTCTTCTTCCACTTGCCCTCATCGATGTTGTACATCTCCACGACCTTCAGGGGCAGCTGACTGGCGCCCACACCCCCGATCACCATGATCCGCTTCCCCAGGGCGATGGCGGCCACCCCGGCCCGGGCTGTGGGCAGGGGGGGCAGGGCGGTCCACTGGTCGGCCTCGGGGGAGTAGACCTCAAAGCAGTCCATGGGGATGCCGTTGTCGTCACATCCCCCGATGGCATAGACCTGCCCCCCGCTCTCCAGCAGGGAGCAGTAGACCCGGCGGCTGGGCAGCGGCGCCAGGCGCTTCCACTGGAAGTCCTTGACGTTACGCACCTCCATGGCAGCCCCGGGGGCCCCGCCCGCCGCACCCCCGTGCCCGCGGAGCGCCAGGGCGCCGCGGGAGGTGCGAGCCCGGGGAGCCGCCCGCTACTCGGTGCCCCCTCTTGCGGCCTCCATCTGGCTCCCGTCCGCCGGCTCCCGCCCGACCCCGGGCAAGGGCCCCGACGCCGGCCAGCGCTTCACAGTCCCTCCAGACTGCACGGTCCGGCGGCGTCCGCGCCTGGCCCTGCGGGAGGAACGGGGTGAATCAAGGGCGGTCGCGGCCCGGCGCCCTCGCCTCCTCGCGCGGCCGGCCGGCCGGGCTCCCGGCTCCCAGGTCTTGCTAACTTTAAAGGAAAGGCGCGGCGGCCGAGGGCGCCACCCCGCGGCGGCATCGCGCCCCGCAGCAATGTGTCTCCCCCCACCCCCGCCCCACCCTCCCCTCCGGGCTGGCGGCTCCGAAGCCCGCGGAGCGCGCGCAGGGCGGGGGGCCTCCAGGCGCAGCGAGGAGTTAACACCTCCGGGCTCCGCCGCCCCCCTGCCCGCGCCCTCCCGCCCCCGCCCCCAAGCCACTTACACAGCCAGGCCCGAGGAGCGCGGTGGCCAGGCGCAGACCGCGCATCAGCCGGGAGCGGGGAGCCCCCCACCCCCGCCGGGGCGGCGGGGAGCCGGGGAGAGGGCACGCTGTCCTTCCCCAGCCCGCACGCCGCCGTCACACATGCAGGCGAGGAGAAGGGACGAGCAGCGCGAAGGGGAAGCGAAGCCGCCCGCGGGGAGGAGGCAGGCCCGGCTGCTCCGCGCACCTCCCCACCCGCAGCCGCCACACCTGTGCGGGAGGCCGCGTGCGCCCCGCGGCGGAGCAGGCCATGACCTCTTTACATAAGCGCTGGCAGCGCCCGCCCGCGGGGGAGGGAAAGGGCCCCGCGGGAGCCGCTCACCTTGTCTACAGGGTCAGAGGAGGCGGGGCCCTGGAGCCAGGAACCCAGATGACAGGGACCAGACTCCCTCCAAAGTGGGGGTGGGCGGTTTGTGAGTGTTTGTTTTGGATGAGGAGGCGGAGAGTCCAATTACCCAGTTTATCTACAGTACACAGACCCAGTTCGTGACAGGCTGGCTCAATAGTCAGCTTTGCTTTGGGGGAGGTATGATCAAATGGTTTAACCTAATAGAAACAAGTTCCGTGGGTGTGACACGCGCAGACCTGACACACGTGCACCCGAACATAGCGTGTCCGCTGACCCGCACACCTCTGCATGACTTACACATCACCCTACCCTCTCCCACCCGGAAACGGAGTAACTGACAAACGCACAGACATGTGGACACCAATGTAGACAGACGAACACATGGGGGGGACTCCCCCCACTTCAGTCCCTTCTTCACACACCTTGAGATGCGGAAACCTGGTTATTCAATGTTGGCCCTCAACACCAACCCACAGGGCTTGCCAAATAGTTTTCTCAAGCCACATTCTCATAGCCTTTTCAGGATAGCAGTCCCCTTTTAACAAAGGGGACATGACACCAGTGGGCCACCTGGCCTGAAGGACCGCAAGGCCTGTGGAGTCCCCCTTCTTCTTGGTTCCCTTGAAAACAGTCAAGTCTTGAAACACTCAGGCTTGAGAGTCTGATAGATCTGGGTTTGAATTCTGGCTCTGAAATTATTTAACTACTCTGAGACCCAATTTCCTTATATTATTTTAATTTATCTTTTTATTTGGAGATAAGTTGGAGATTTACATGCAATAGTAGGAAATAACACCCTTTACCCAGTTTCCCTCGATGGTAACATCTTGCAAAACTTATAGTACAATAATATCACAACCACGCTATGGAAAGTGATCAGTAAAGGTATAGCACATTTCCACCACTAGGATTCTTCCTGTTGCCTTTTATACCCACACCTACTTCCCTCCCACCCCTTTCTCTCCAGCCCCTGGCGACTATTAATCTATTCTCCATCTCTATAATTTTGTCATTTCAAGAATGTTATATAAATAGAATGGTATAGTGTGTAACCTTTTGGGATTGACTACCCACACCCCTCTGGGCGTAATTCCGTGGAGATTCAGCCAGGTTGTCGTATGTGTGTCAATAGTTCATTCCTTTTTATTTCTGATAGAAGTACCCATAGTATTCCATGGTATGGATGGATCCTTGTAGATTTTTGTGAAGATTAAATGAAATACTGTTTGTAAAAGGCTCAATTCCGTTTCCGACACAGAGCAAGGGCCTGGTAAATCGCTATTAATACCATTACTACCAACTATTGTCACCAACTTGCGGAGAAAGGGAGACTGGGAACAAACAGACATTTTGCCCCTTGCTCAGAAAGGACTTCCTGTGAGAAACAGAAGTCACGACTCACAACAGGCCCATCTTAGTATCTTGAGTTCTTGGCTTAGAAATTCCACTGTTTCTTTTAGTTTGAATTCTCTGTATTTACAAAGTAAGCACCTCTAGAACCATCAGAGGAAGGTTGTGTTCTGTTTTCTCTCTTCAGTAAGAACTCATAAATTCCAAGAGAATGTGGTCTGAATTAATGATGTTTTACAGGAAACACCAAACATTTCTCTTCTGTCCTAGGGATCACAATCTCCCCCCGGGGACTAGGGAATAGACTCAACCCTGAACTTGAGCTGTCTTCACAAAACCAGGGCAGGGTGATCAGGAAGACTGAAAGCAATAGGCCTTCCTCAAAGGGGCTTGTTGGGGTGGGTCTTCAGTCTCTTTTGCCCACTGAGCCTTTAAAAAACAAAACCAAAAAAAATGTATTTATTTATTTTAAAGAGGGGTGGGGAGAGAGCAGGAGCAGGGGGAGGGAAAGAGAAACTCCAGTTGACTCCCCACTGAGCGTGGAGCCCGAGTTGGGGCTCCATCTCACAACTCTGAGATCATGACCTAAGCCGACACCATGATCTGAGCCAAGATCATGACCTGAGCAGAAATCAAGAGTCAGACGCTTAACCCACTGTGCCCCCCAGGCACCCCTTGCCTACTGAGCCTTTTCCCAGAGCAGTGAGGCAAGGCTCCTTGTGCCCCCACCCACCCCAGCCGGGGCAGCAGAGTTCCATTCTACTTTGTGTTTGCAAAACTCATCCAGCTAACGTAAGCCCTCACGCATCCATTTTCTTACAATCTTTGAAACAACCCTGGGAAAGGTGGCCCTGGGCAGGTATCAGTCTGCATTTTCACAGATGGGGAATCTGAGCCTTCCTGAGATAAAGTAATGGACTTATGGCCACTCGAGGGCCAGGACCAGGGCAGGTCTGATTTGTGAATTCCAAATCCAACACTCTCCCACTTTAACAGTTAAATCACAAACAAAAGATTGTGTATTATTAAGGACACCAAGCTTTTCCACTCACACCTGGCTTCCGGCTTTTTGTCCAGTTACAGTGAAGGAAGGAGCCCAGGCCCCCAAAAGGGTTCCAGCGACTGCTCTCTCCCCATTGCCAGACTGTGTGCTGGGCAGCATCGCTGGGAAAGGACTGGAATCCAGCTCCAGAAGAGGCCCCATTCTAGCCTAACACTTCTCTTTTGCAAGCACTACCCTCTGTGAGGACCACGAGATCTAGGGACTCAGACCCTTGGAAAAGTACGAAGAACCGGATGCCTTTCAGGCCATGGTCTAATTGCTTGTTCTGAAGTACTGGCTTCTCTCCTTCCCCCACGGCTCTTCCTCTCAGCCAGGTGACATCCTTTAATCCTTACACTGAAGTGCACATTGAGGAAACTTGTAACCTAGCAACCGCCACTTAAGATTCCCTGAGTCACAGGCGGTTTCCATGCCTGGGCAGAGTGCACCACGCTGGGGCCTGAAGGCGTGCCAAGCAGAGGCAGGGAGTCTGGGGACCCCTTTGATGCCTCACCACCCCGCTCTGGAGTGAGGCCACTTTCCCTGTCAGGACCTTCTTCCTCCTGTCAAACCTAAACCCTTCTTGCTCTGAGACCTTGCATTACATGGGGCCTGGGTTTCTCTTCTCTCTTAAAAAGTGTTTGACTTTCTGCCTTGGTTACAAGGTGGCACGGGGACGGCGAGGAAGTGGGGGAAAGAAAGTTGATGAAAGCATCTAACAGTAAGGCCTTTCTTTGGTACTGTGGTGTCTTTCTCACTGTGATAGCGCTGCATCAACCTTGTTAAGGGGGTGCTCAGCTCTAGAAAAAGTCACTTGGTATTTTTTTTTCTGAAGTCGCACCTTAGGTTTTTTAAGGTCTATTTTATTTTATTTATTTTTTAAGATTTATTTATTTATTTGAGAGAGAGCAAGAGAGAACCGAAGAGGGCAGGAACAGAAGGAGAGGGAGCAGCAGACTCCACACTGAGTGCAAAGCCCGACGTGGGGCCTGACCCGTGACCCTGAGATCATCATCTTACCCAAAACCAAGAGTTGGACATTTAACCGACTGAGCCACCCAGGCACCCCAAGGTCTATTTCAAATATAATAAAATGCACCGTAGTGTTTGAATTCATTAGGTATTCAGCAGGGGCCTAGCGCCACCACCTTGGGGTAGGTCATGGGGAAGCCAAGGGCGGGGTGGGAGGACAGTTTCTTCCCCGTTCCCTAGCAGAGCCCCAGCATGGCAGCCCATGGATGGAGGAACCATGAAGGGCTGCAAGGGGCTGGTGGAATTCGGAGCGTAGGGCATGTTTTGGAGGGATGGGGAAGGAGGAACTGTTTGGTTATTAGAAGCTGGAGCAGCTCCTTCTCCTTCCTTGGAAATACAGTTGACCTCCCTTCAGTGGGCACCACTTGGACACCTTCTGTGGGATTCCATGAGACACACTAGGAGCTCCCCCAGGCCGGGATCACCTTCTCTCTGTGGTTCATTTTCTGCGGTGCCTCACAGAGCAGGGGGTAGGGGGAAAGTGGATGGACTCTGGAATCAGACAGACTGGGCCTGAATCCTGGCTCTGCCACCCCTATAGCGGTATGACCATGAGTAAGTCACTTATATCCCTGAATCTCAGTTCTAATCTGGGAAATGGGGAATAAGAAAATCTACTTTCTAGAGGTATG